AAAAAAAAAAAAAAAGAATAAACTTGAAGGGTTTTTATCCTAATTTCAAAATCTCTATTTTCTGGAGCAAAAACCTCAAACCTACATATTCTTGAAAACAAATTAATAAACGTTAATGGACTAATCTCAAACATGAAGTGAAGATTCAACCTTGGGCAGTTCACCGATCCGTCGAATTGATGATGTCCTCCAACCAACAATATCTAAGCAACTTGTTAGGACGACAAAATGGAAGTACGTGGGCTATGTTTGGTAGTTGATAGCTGATAAGTCAGCTTATAGCTTATAAGTGATTTTCGAGCTTATAGCTTATGACTTAAAGCTGAAAAGCAAGCTTAAACGATAAAAGAGTTTGGTAAAATTAATTGATAAGCTAGCTGAAATAAAATTTTCAACGAGCTTATTTGAAAAGTTACCCAAAGAAGCTTATGAAATAAGCTCGAGCTTTCTAGAAAAGCTCGTCATATCAAACGAATCTTATTTAAATACATGAAGATTATAAGCTAACCAAATAAAATATAAGCTAGTTTATTTGGTTACCCAACTATGTCTTATAAACTGGCTAACTAGCTATACAAAACCAAAACCGGAAGCAAATAAATTATGTCATAAATCATGGATACGGTCGTGATCAACATTCGAATAAGCCACCCTGCGCTGGAAAGACCGTAAAGCAGACCTGCATATATGGGTTGATATACTTTTATACACTTAAAAATTCGTAAAGATAAGTTTTTTTACTCTGCATAAAATCTTAATAGAAGAATTTATGATACAACTGAAGTGAGAGAGAAGATAAAACCTTACATAAAACAGCATTCTTCATTATCTTCAACCATGCGCTTGAGCAACGGAGGCTTTCCTTCATCCTCGTCAGTAAGAAAAAGGTGTCTGCCCGTTCTTCTGAATATCCAATGAATTACACAGCCAGCAACTTTCTCGAATGCAGTTACCCCAAAAAGAAACGGTACCTAATGTATGAGCAAATATTAAAAGAAAATAAAATGAAAAATTAAAAATAGAATATTTCCAAGAAGAATCCATGTATCAAATATGCCGCTAACTATGAAAACTCTACATTTTATGGCATTATATTGAGCTCTTATAGATTTTAGTCTCACAAACCACATAAGGTATGTGAGATTAGTTTACTACTTGTTCAGAAAGTATAGTCAGCAGCAAAAGACTTAATTGTCTTTAAGGTTTATATTAAGAATTAAGGAATATAGAAATTTGACTAATATTATCCAAATCAACTAATAGTCCTCCTCCCCTCATAAATATTTCACTAGCATAAATTGTAGCCTCTTAAAATATGAAGGGACAAAGTTGGAACAAGGCTGGTGAAAATTCTGTGGGACAATTAATTTGTAACAAAATTGAGTCTCTTAAACAACAGCTACAACAAAATAGAGGGAGTAACAAAGTTGCAGCCGCTTATCAAGAATTTGCCACGATTCTGCTAGAGAGAACTCATTACCGCAAATAAATAAAAAAATAAATAAATAAACAAATAAAAAAAATCATGAAATGCATTGTTCCTTCTTTCATTTTCTCCCACACCAATCACATCTCCTAAAAAAAGGAAAAAAAAAAATGATTACTCAAATTTTCACGTAATTTGGCACCAGCAAAGATTTCCAACACGGTAACCTTCTTGACCTTAAAGTTCAATACACCATCAAACTAAATCTTTAAGTAAGGTGTCAAAAAGCAGAAAAAAAAAAAAAACTATCTTCTAAAACAACAACAACAACAGCAACATAGCCTTTTAGTCCCAAACAAGTTGGGGTGGGCTAGAAATGAAACCCAAGAGAAAAGTGGTTACCTGCTTATTGCCCCTCGAACCAAGGTGTGGAGTGGCAACAGTAATAAAGTTTATGGGCTCAAGATTTGCTATTGTACCCTTCGACTCGTCTGTACAAACGTTGGGAGAGCCTTCTTGTCCAGTTTCTTTATTTGAAGGTCTATATAACTTCCCGATTGCATATCTTGCCACAAGTCCCCCAACAGAATGCGCAATGAAAGATATTTTCTTCAGAGAAGGTTTTCTTTTTATTACTTCGAGGACCTAAAAAATGCAGTTCAAGGTGAAAACCAATATGTTGCATTCCACTTCAGATTGTACATTGATTTGACGGTGAAAAAAGGCAACGTAGAGTCATAGTGCAAACAAAACCGAACCTCCTCAGCCAGTCGCTCACCCATAACATCAACACCATCCAATGTCAATTTTGATGCATTCCGTTCACTGCCTGCAATATTTATTTAATGTGTAAATAAAATAAAAATGAACTAAAAATAACCTCATAGATAAAAAAAAGAAAACCGAAGACTCTGTAGATCAGAGGTAAAGATAAGTTCCAGAGTATTTAGTGGTGCACTTTATGTCTAAATTTATTCTTGAAAAACTAATGAAATACTCATTGCTCAATCACACAAGAAATAAGACAGCATCACTCCCAACTAATAAAATATCACATGTTCTTTAGTAACGAGTAATATACCGCATTGTACGTAAAAGAAAGTTTTGGATGAAAATTGAAATAATGTGCTTATCGTTATACGTAAAATAAAGAAGATATACAACAAAACATGAAATTTACTTGATTCCTCTAGGAAAAAAAAAACATCCACATAAAAAAAAGAAAAACAAAGAAAAAACTTGTAACAACTCTTCTTCCGAAATGAACACAAAAAACCATCACATTGTATACAGAACTTACAGTGAACGTAAACTTTATCAGGATGCCTCTGGACAAATTTCTCCGCACCAAATTTCCAATCCAACGCACTGCAATAACAGAATCATCGGTAGAATAAAAATGAAATCTTTAAGACCAAACAATCACCTTCGAGGATTAAAAGGACAATTCTTTTGGCAAACACACACAAACACCTTCCTAAAATTTTGTTTTACAACGATGTAAACAGAGGAGAACAAATCTTTCTTGTCCTTATGCTCAAACACATGACAAAAGGAGCAACCTTTCGTCGAAGGATTACAAGCCAAATCGCAAAACCAGCTAAAGATTACCACAAATGGGTACTCAAATAAGTATACCAACAAAACCCTTAATTTATTTTACCAACAGTTACCAAGATCAGATGAAAATTTACAAGATGAACGAACCCAAATTAAATCTTTATTGTCTTTTAAGCTCAATCACATACTAAAGAAGCAACTTTTCGTCAAGCTCTTACAAGATAAATCGCAAAACAAGCTAAAATGTTAGCACAATAATACTTATTTCAGTGTACCTACAAAACGCTTAATTTTTTTTTTTACCAACAGTTGCCAAGATCAGGTGAAAAAAAAACCCAATTCGCCGAAAATCTACAATCGCTACTGTAAAAGTAAATTTACCAACAGATCACACACCTCCCAAGAATCCCGTGTACCATAACAACGAGATGATCTGCGGTAAAGGCGTCGGAATCTTTGGAGCTGTACACGTCCTCACCTCCGTCTCCGGTCTCCGTCGAGCAAACGGCGCCGTTCACAGCAGCTCCGTCAACCTTATCCATTTTTCCGCCTTTACTTGCCTTATCTGGTTAATTGATGTCCCTTTTGGATTCTTGAAGGAACTGAAAAAATTCTCCTCAAATGGAAGGCAGCAGAAAAATACAAGGGTCGCGCTCACACATTAAAGAGTCGGTTGAGAAAACGTGGCGTGACGGTGGATATTTTGCGGGCCAACAACACGGTGGCTCATAGCGTACTGTACTGTCTCTCCAATGCCTTCACTCTACGGTTCGTGCAGTTATGTGAAGTTTGACCAGGAATGTAATTAGCTTAGTTGGTTGACGTTGACGACCTTGGAATTCCAAAATAAATGTCCAAAAATAAATAAAGGAATTAGTAAAAGAAAAATGCTTCTCATTCTTTTGCCTTCTTCTCTCATCTCTCTTAATTCCCCCAAATCTAAGGTTTTCAAAGATTTATTAAAATTGAGATCTTTCTTCTTTTGTTGCTGCAAAATACATTGGTTCCAAAATAAGGAATCACAAATCACAAGGCTCGCGAACGCAGACGGAGGGCTCGGGCGGCGGAGGAAGTGGGCAGCGCCGCCGAGGTTGGGGGGACGGCGTAGGAAGAAACCATGTGTCGATTAAAATTGCATTTTTAATCAAATTGCAATAATTCAAATCAAACGGCGCTGTCGTTGGCTTTATTTTAATAATCGCCGAGAAAATGGGTGTCGTCGATGGCCGGCGGCGCTCGTGAATGCAAACGGAGGGCTCGCGCATCGCGCGACCGCGGCTGCTGGCGCGACGGAGGAAGCGGGCGGCGCCGACGAGGCTACTGGACGGCGTACGAACCGGCTGTGGGTGCGGAAGGAGGACTGGCAGTCGAGAAAACGGGTGCGATTGATGACCGACTGCACGTTGTTGTGAGACGAAGTCGTTTTGGGTTTGAGAGATAGATTTTTTTCTTTCTTCTGGCGAATTGTTTGTTTATTTGATTACGATCGATTTGTTGTTGGGGTTTGTTTTACTTTGTATTGTAGTGCATTTGGTGTCTGAACTTTGATTCTGTACTATGTAAAAAAATATGGAGGAAACGACGACACATGCGGAGAGAGATAAAAAAGGTTTAAAGACTCTTAATAAGATAAGTATAATTTAATTTGTTAAGGCCTTGTTTGGCGATCAGCGGATAGCAGATAGCGGATAACGGATTGTATCAGAGGATAGCGGATAGCGGATTATATTAGCTGATTTGACCAGCGGATTGTATTAGCGGTTTTTAAATAAGTGTTTGGTAAATAGCTGAAAGTTTATAGCTGTTTGACATTGCAAAATGACCAATAATGATATTTTATTATTTAGGGTGTATTTTTTAATAATAATATATTAAAACATTTGATATTCTTTAGTTGGTAATTTATAAATATATTATTTTTAAAAAAAAATTACTAACACTTGATGAAGAAGTTATAAATTTTACATTTTTCTAGATAAATTAATCATATGGATGACATATTATTATTTATTAGCTCTATAAACAAATTTAGATTGTAAAATAAATAATATACAAATTAAAACGTTCCAAGTAAATTATTTTTGTAAATCCTCTATCCTAAAAAGCTGCTCTAATGAGCTTGTTATAAATTATAGTTTTGGGCCCAAAAAGCTTATCAAATAAGTTATTTACCAAACAGGCTCAATATCGGATTTGACGGGTCAAACCTCTCAATTAAATCTAATCCGCTAATTTATCTTCAATCCGCTATCTTCAAAACGGGACCTTTAGGTTAAAGACTTTTCTTTATTTGTTGTACCAAATAAAAAAATCAATTCTGACTAAGCAAACACATCAAATACACATCAAGGAGTAAGGGTCATGGAGTATAAATTGGTGGGGCATGTAGCGGTACCGTTAATAAAATTACCATGACAGTTATTTATTTATTTTGTGAGAGAACAGATATATTGCTTTATGAATAATCTTTGCATATTGTTATCTATTTTAATTGGATATTTTGGAACTGTTGTGATTTGAAAAGAACATTACTATTCACCGTCCCCTGTTACTAGTCACCGTCCATCTTAGACGATTTTATCCTTTTTATTTTTTTTTAAATCTCATAAGAAATCCTCTCGGGTGATTTCCGATGAAATATCGTCTTCCTTCGAGGTACATTTTTCTGCTGTCCGGCTGGCAATCGCGTACGCGACCGGAGCTAGCTCGTTCATTTGCTACAAAATTTGGAATTTTATCCCAGCAATAAGTTAAATTTGTATAGAATATTGCTAAGCATGTCAAATGTGGCTTCATTGGAGACTATTGACCTACATTAACAACAAGTACAATACCCGTGTATTACACGGGTGCTTGTTAAAAAATTATTCTTAAATTTTAAAATTAATGAGAAAATTATATTAAATTTAGTTTACTTTCTTACAAAAAAAAATATATTACTATATATTTTAGAATGATATGTGTTACTTATGACTTACATGTGTTATATTATATTACTTTTATAACTTATATCATATAACTACTTGAAATATAAATATATTAGTTGATAAATAATTTTATTTTTCTAATTAATATTAAAAATAATTTTATTATTGTTATAAAGATAAATATAAATTATTTTTTTATACATACAATATGGATGTTAAATCGAAGCTTATCAAAAGAAGATTAATCTGATATATTACATATGTAAAACTGATAAAAAAATTCAAAAGTTATTAACTTTTAAAATATATATACAATTCAATAGTTATAATAAGGAATGATACTAAAATACAATTAATACATGTAATATGACCATAAATAATCAACATATTTATGGTAATCCGAACCTAATTATTTGTGGTTTGGAATTAAATTAAAATTTACGCAAGCCTAATAACGAAGCATGTAATTTTGCCACATATGATTCCGAAGCACCAGAAGCAGCCACGTAGGCTCAGCACATTTTGTATTAATATATAGGGGGATTATGAGCACGCAGGACTGCCATGGTAGATGACCAACATCAAATTTAGTTCAGTTTCTAAAAATGTTGCCATCTTTCGATCCCTATCAAACCACCTTATAAAGAATGATGAGAGATATCAATTGATCTACATATACACCTCAAATTGAAAAACACTGTCACAGTAAGCCTATGTTTGGTTTGGGGGAAACAGAGGGGAGGGGAAGGGAGGGGAGGGAAAATTTTATTTCTCCTTATTTGGTTCAACTTTTTATAAGGTGGAGGGGTTTAAATTTTTCCTTCAATCCCTCCTCCAAGGGAAAATGTGCTCCCCTCCAAAAGTGAGGGAATTTGGAGGGGAGGGAAAATTTTAACAACAAATTACTCTTTTGATCTTACTGTGAATTATTTTATTTTTTTTGTTCCTTACATCATTAAGGATATATTGGTCATTCTAACATTATTTTCCCTCCCCTTCCATCTTCTAACCAAACAAGGTTAATCATTTTCCTTCACCTCCCCTCCTACAAAATCCATCCAAACAAGATAAATTACTTTCCCTCCCTTACCCTCC